AAAAAAAAAAAAAAAAAAAAAAAAAAAACAGCCTGTAGGAGCAAAAACAGATTTAACACAAACCGACAAATTAACCAAACCATCCCACACAATTGCAAGACAAAATCTTCACATATATGTATATGTGGGAAATTCACCTTCAATTCTCGACCAGCATCTAGAATGTTAGTTTTAAGGTATATACCTTCAGAATACAAAAGTCTGACTCTTCAATAGTGTCAGGGTTACAGTTAGATTAAAGAAATCAATTATTGCATCGTGTATTACGCAACTGACGAAATTAAACACCAAAACTAACTAATGCACGTAACCACTTACTATTAGCCTCTGCATTCATGCATATATCAAACATATCATCTTACATATGTCCTTGGTCTCAGAATGTGACATTTTGAAAATAACAATTCGATAAAGCTTAACCATAGTCAAACTACTTTATTAATTAGCAGTCTTTTGGTTAATGTGAGTGCATATGTGTACAGAAGCGTTCTTGGGATTGATTTCCCGTGTCATTTGAACATTTTTTTTTTGTCACATTGTTTACAAAAAGCAATACATATCAGGAGAAAAAAGTTCAAAATCACCTTTAGATAACAAACAATGACTACTCTCAAGTCTCAATCAGACCTACATATTATTAAGAGCTGCTTCCATTAATCATCCTTAAAACATGTCAACTATATACACATGAAATGAAATGACGCATAGTATGTAGGAGAGATTACATGTTGATGAAACTACATTTTATATATATATATATATATATATATATATTCTTAGAACTTTGTTAGTAATATTTTAGAGATAACGTTGGTATCTAGTACTAAAAAAAAATACAAAATTGTGCATAAAATTTAGAATAAGAGGAAGATAATTTAGAACTAACTTACATATTTAATTAACTTTCAAGCTATATTAGGTGCAATATATAATGATCGGATCACAGTGGAATTCTTTCTTATTGGAGGCTCTAAGAGAGGGTCATGCTAAACAAGTTCCAGTTACGACTTACACGTATATGACTTACACATATATGACTTACACATATATAAAAAAGAATAACACATGAAATTAACTCATTTAAATGCAAAAGGTCTCATAAGTATCGGTTTATTCCTTCTGTACTAGATATATGGGATGGGATAAAGCAAAATATGTTGATGAAAAGCAAATTAGTTATATTGATGAAAGATGGAGTACAACAATAGCCCAACTCAGAAATATGACATTCATAAAATTGATACCCATGAGTTGATATTTATGACTTTCCTCCAGGTACACCGACTTAAGAGTAGTCCTTTCTCATTTAGTGGCTTCACTTATTTACATATTACACCTTAATCTAACCTATCTCTATATATTATTAAACTTTCTATTATAAAGAAACTTTAAGGGTGAGTTTTAGGTTAGTTTATTTTGACAAAATATTTGTTTTTTAAAAATTCATGGAAATTTTAAAATCAAAGATTATTTTCTAAAATGAAACTGTATAGACATTAGCTAATATGACTCTGTATATATAGACAAGTGTCATATTATTGTCATGAACCAAAAAGAATTCAAGTATAAAAAGAAGACCCGTAAATAATTTTATAATCCTTTAATATTTCCTTAGAGACACTAATTATTTGAAAAAGTTGTAAAAAAATTTATCTAATAATTGATTATGTAAATAATCAATTATTGTTATACTCTATTATAATGATGAAATTTGTTTTGAAAATTTTACTTAAAAATGATTTTAAAAAGATTAATTTTGTTTAAATATAATAATAAAAAAATAGTTTTTACATAATAAATCATTTCTAAAAATTGTTGAAAAGTAAATCATAAATTTTATATTTCTAGTTTCATAAAATAATTTATTTTTCAGAGAATAAAAAACTATTTATAAATTTTGTTATTATTCTAAATATGCAAATTATTTTACAAATAACTTGTTTCTTAAAAAAAATTATAAAAAAAAAAACACACACACACACAAGTTGAAAGTGAGAAAATTAATATTTTCTAAACATGCTCAAGTGTAGATAGTAAAAGTCTACCTGCATGTGATGGAAAAAGGATAAAAATTTAGTTCCACTCGGGTACAAGACTAAGCTAACACCATTCCATTAGAGTTAAACTATTAGATAAAAACACGTGAATAATTTTATATTATATCTCTAACAATAAGCACATTAGAGCAGTATTCAGATAGTTTTATTATACCTCATACTCATAATGATTGATCAACGAGGTATCTACAGCTAGCTGCAACCACAACGATTACTTCAAAGATAAATATTGTATATGTATAGCATTGCCATACTCACAAAATTCAAATCCACTGCTGAGTGCGAAAATTTAAATTATGTGCTTTAGCCTCTTGAATAATTGATATGAAGAATGTCCAGCAAGCACTGATAGATTAAGGAACCATGCTGAGGAGCTTCAAGAACGAGTACTACCTTTATCTTGGCTCCGATCATTATTATCAGAACCAAGGAGCTTGGAACTAAATGATGTTGGAAGGCGTCTAAGAGGTGAATTAGTTGGATGAATGAGAGGATGAGGCATCATGACTTGGGAACTTGAGCTCAAGATGTTGGATTGTCTTGGATCACTTTCCACTGAGTAAAAAGCAGATGGTGTAGCAGAAGGTGGACAAAAAAGTAACTGTGGACCAGATGCTCCTGAGAAATTAGAAGATGAAAATTGCTCACCACTGCCACTGCTAGGATGAGAAGGAAACAATCCATGGCTTCCAAAGTGGGACAAAGATAGACTTGAAGGCTCAGAATGGTGGTAGGAGTTATGTGTCATGCCATTGTTTAGAAAATTACCAAGTAAAGAAGAGTTTGTAGTCCCAATGGGGAAGAGCTTATGAGCTGAAGAATACTCTCTATTATGAGTACCACCAATTGAGATTCCATCTTGATTTTCTTGTTCACTTCTTTTGATCCAGCTCTTGCCTTTTTGGAAGATTGACACACTTTCACCTAACTCCTTACCATTTAGTGAATCTATATTCCAATACCTTGACTTTGCCATGAGGTTTTGATTTCCCCCATCCTTGCTAAAATTGGAATCAGGATCATAGAAGGGTCCAAGAGAAAACTGAGAGTTACCTGGAAGTAGGGTTTGTTGGTGAGTAAAACAATGAGGAATTTGAAGTGGTGGTAGTTTATCAATATCAGATTTGGTGGCTTCAAGCAACCAATCTACCGCTTTGCTAGGTTGGTTGAGTCCAAGCCTGTCTTGAAGATCATATAACTGAACTGCTGTGGGTACAGACAGTCTAATCCTTCGGTCCCTCAGTCCCCTAATGGTGCAAACCTTGCTGTGTCTATCTTTTCCTCCCAAAGTACGTGAGACTCGCACAATTCTTGGATTTCTGAATGCTGACCATTGCCTTGAGGTGGAGGGTGCCTTCAAGAACTTCTCAGTTTTAATGTTATTGCCCTCTTCTTGTGTACTGGCTTCATGACCTTTACTTGAACTTTCAATATCCATCATCTTACTAATTATCTCATCGTTCCTTGATTTCATTCAATGAAATTAACCTTTTCTCCTGAACTGCAAGCAACTAACCGGATCTGATAAACAAAGGGAAAAAAGGAAAGTTATAATACCAGAAAAACATGTTTATGTTATTATTGTGCAGTTTTTGTCTTAATGTTCACAACAAATTATGCTAAAATTGTTGCATACTTGACAAGGAGTCTTTCCATAACTAGGAATAGATTCACAAATTATTGGGTCAGAAAGAAACAAAATATAGGAACTAATTGAAGTTCTATACTGAAATCAGCTTTCCCAATTCTACATACAACTGAAGTTATGCTACTCCAAAATCAGGGCTAAGACAACTCTACTCACTCAATTGATAGTTATGAAACTGAATCAAAGCCAGAAGCATGAGTTTGGTTGGAAATTGAGAACATGATTAGGATTTCATTGACAAGTTTAGAAGCACGAGGACAAGGCTGGTGTTAGTAGAGAGATTACAAGATCAACTTACGTGAGAGAGGAAAGTGTGGATGCTATGTGCCAAATGTTCTAAGCTTTTTCAGCAAAGAAGAAATGGAGGAGACTGCAGAAGTAGAAACTTCGTACAAGTCTTCAATGTTAATTAGTTGAGCAGATGACCACAAGTTTCGACTTCAACCTTTTTCCTGCAAAGGAATAATGCTGCATCGAATTGAGAATTTATGTAAAGAAAAAGGTTAGAATTTTACAGCATAATGATGGGTGTAAATGCCAAATAAATAATAATAAAAAATTAGGAAAGTTGCTACGGTACTCTCAAAAATTGAGGAATTGCAATATATTCTTTTATATAAATTTATAAAAATTAAAAAAATAATTAATTTAATTATAAAATGAATAATTTAAATTATATTTATAAAATGAAAAGTAAGATAAAATTATAAAAATTAAAATTATAAGATTTCAATAATGTTATAAAATATTAAAAAAGAAAAGAATTAATAAATAGTAGAAATAAAAAATTATTAAAATTATAATATAAAAATTAAAAAATTTAAGACAAAAAACAAAAATATATTTAAAAAATTATTAAAATTAAAATATAGAAATTTAAAAATCTGAAGTGAAAAGACAAAAAATATACTTAAAAAATTATTAAAATTAAACTATTTAAATATATAATAATATTATTACAAATAAAATTAGAATATATAAAATAAAAATAAAATAACTAAATAATTTAAAATTTTAAAAAAATAAAATATCATAAATATTATTTAAATAAATTACTAAAAATATAAAATATAAAATAAAATTATACTTATATAACTGTACCAATACCTTCCTAAATAATATGGATACCGTAGAATTTTTCAAAAGTTAGTTTGTTTGATCACGTGGCATCCTTGTCAAGGGCAACTTCAACCAAAGTGTTTGTCTTGACATACACACCACATGCTGAGCGATCACTGGCTTAATTAATAATGACTATTATTAAGTGTTATAACTTACAATAATTAAGCCATTTGTTATTAGAGTGTCGTTACATTGATTTTTAGAATATTTTTATCACTAAAATGATCTTTAAAATATTAACTTATTACCAATTTAGTTAGTTCTTAAATATATGTGATTATTTTGTAATTATATTACTCCTCTAAAATTACAAATATTGCAAAATGAATCTTTTCCGGGTCATTATATATTATAAGCCTTTAAAAGATGCATATGATAAATTTATGTTTTCAAAAATTAATTTGATGACTAAAATGTTCAACAAAAAAAATAGAGGCCACGTAAGAATTAATTTATGATAAAATATTAAAAAATAATAATAATACACTAAATTTTAAATTAAGAGTGTTTTGCTTTATAATTATTAATTATTAAAACTTCGATGTGAGACTAATTAGGAACTTCTGTGCCAGCTAGCCGAACAGGACAAATTAGTGACAAAAGAAAAGTTAGGAAAAAGAATACTTTAATCCATTATTTATGACTTACAACTTTTTTTAATAAAAGAAATGAAGCATTATCTTTTTCAGCAACAATAGAGTTTTTTTATTCGAAATTTTCTCAAAATGAGTTTTTATCCTTTATGAAAGACAAATTTACTTAAGGTATATAGACACTATAATATGGAGCTTTTTTATAGTCAGAATTTGAACTGAAATTTAGAATTTTGTAAGGGATTAATCATTTTCACTAGACTAATTACTTCCATTGGTAAATTCCTCAATGTAGACGTAGTTAAGAAAATATACAAAAGCATAACACTGTTAGGGAATAATGTATTTTAAACCACTCTTATATTATAAATTTAAGTTCTAATTCTTGAATAATAAGAGCATCTTAGTTTCACTTCTTTTTTGATAAGTGACACCACTTTTATTCAACATTTGTTTTTATATATTTTTAAAATTTTTTAAAAGATTAATTGTTCTTTTAGTGATAATATTTTTTACTTAAAATTTATTTTTATGTCAAGATTTTAAATTCTTAAATTTTAACTTTTATTACATTTAAAGTTTCCGTTTTATATTAGGGTTTTCATTTTGTTTCAAATCTTAACTACCCTTGCTTTAAATTTAGTTTTTTTAAAACATTTTGAAAAATTCCCTTTACCTGAAATCTAAATTACTTATATTCTCTATTAAAATTAATATATATATATATATATATATATATATATGA